TAACAGTCTAATCGGAAACAGGGGAGAGAAAAGTTAAGAGGGATAAAACTTGAATCGCAAAAAGTTAAGCGACGAAAAGTCGACAGGAATAATAGTCGATTTGGAAAAAATCGAAGGTCGAAGTGTCGACGGGGATAGATGTCGAACAAAGTACAAGGACAGAATGCTGGCAGGGTGGACAGGTACAAAGTCGGCAGGGATAAGTGAATAAAGCTAAGTCAAATGCGACAAGTCCAACGGGACAAAAGTTCGCAGGAAGTCTACGGGGCACCACTAGTGCTCATGATAAAACAGTATTTATCATAAGCATAGCGTAGAAGGCAGAATTCCGACAATATTATCAACGTTTACTCTACTACGTCGTTTAATTGTATCTCCTGGTATACTGAGGGTCGATAACTCGGTATAGTGAATCTAAACTCATAGTGCCGAACACAGAGGTGTAGTTTCTTCTCCAGTTGGGGAAGGTGGCTGGCGCTTCCCCTCGCAACTTTGAGAAGAGAGTGTTTCGAGTTCTGGGAGAAATATGTTTGTGGGCGTTTTGCAGGTTGGTTGGGCCCTTTGCCTTCGCTGCCCCCCCCCCCCCGAACTAATTTCGGGGAACTATGTCCCTGGCCGAATAGCTAAAAGCTTAGGCCTTCCCCGCCGATATCAAGCGCCATAGTTTTGTGTCTGGAATGGGTCCATACAATGTGGGTGTTGCACAGCAGTCGCACAGCAGACACCGTCCGCCGCCTTCGACTGCCATACGCTCACCACTTAACTCTGCCCAACGTAAAACGTCGCGGAAAACGAAGGAAAACTCAGCTGCGCGCCACTGCGCAGCTGACGGCACCTAGGTGACGTCACGAAACAGTCAACAACCTTTATTATGGCCTCGTATTGAATACCTACGGTAGCAGCGCTCGGTGAAGGCCACCTTCAAATTTGCCTGGTCCCGGCCGATGGCATCATGCTCCGTGCAGTCCCGCCTGATCTGGTCCTGTTTCGTCCTGTTTCGTCCAGTTTTCTCTGGCTCTGTCTGGTCCCGTTTTGTCGCACCAGTGCCCAGACCATCGAACGACACTGCGTTGCCGATCGGGGGCGACTGCCCTGCAGTCGAGGTTCGCGATGGCTTCGGAAGCGCTGCTTGCCTGTCCCCGGCAACAGGCAGCGAGACGCCAGAGAACCGCTCAAACTGGTGCTAAAACTGCTCGAACCGGTGCGTCCGGGTCATGCAAGCCGACCAACCGTCCGCTGGAGGGTGAGTCGGAGTGGTGCGCGCAACACGTGGACTGAGCGCCTTCAGACGAGCACGCAAGCCCACCTCCTCCGTCTTCGGGTCCACCGTAATCGGCAGAAACATGGCTGTCGGGTGTGTTTGGCCTGGTCGGTTCAGCTTGATGATTGCGTAACAAATCCACCGTGTCATAATCTCTGTCGCTGCCGCTCCGCCTGATGTCCCTGGTAGTCGAATTGTCTGCACTTGTCGACGAACCTTACGAATGTAGTTTGGAATGTCCCCGAAAAGTTATCAAATGAATTCCGGATCACGTGGCGTGCAACATCCGGGAAAATAGTTTGGATTGCGCGATATTTTTGTCAGAAAGTGTAGCACAATTTTATATCATATATTACTCCCAGAAAATCAAAATGGATCCAAGATGATAGGAAGGATCGGGTCTGGCCGGATCAAGTCCTCTAGCAACATACCAAAAGCGATAGTCGTGCCCGCGCTCCAATAGCCGGTGGCTTTAAGTTGCTTGGCCACCAGCGGAGCATCAGTAAATGTAAAAAAGGACCGACGCGCACAGACAGTATGGAAAGCCTACTACACAGCCGGGTGGGAGCATCACACAGCAGACTGGTTTTGAGTAGAGAGTTTGTCTCGTGATTGATGCATTGAACTGCCCTCTTGTCATCAACTGAATGCCTTGATTAATTACAGCAGGAGTTCATGGGCGGAAACAGTAAGGGTAACAAGGGTAAGGGTAACAAGCACAGAGCGCCTCGAACCTCTTGTAGGAGACGGCTAGAATGTTGAGGATATACAATTGTACCGATGAAGTTGGAATAGTGCTCTACGAAGAGAAAGCATACTGTATCATTACTTTTGAACTAAGAGCAAAGAATTGCCACAATTTTGCCAAGAATTGCCGCAAGACGGACGATCTGCACGTGGACGCGAAGAAGGCGACTCCTCGCACGCGTCCGGTGCGTGGCTATTATATGTATCAAGATGATAAGTGGCAATAGCATTATACTAACATAAAGAAACAGTATTCCATATGTCATATACATATATATACATACATATATATTTCAGTACTCACCCACGGAGTAGCCACTTTCAGTACTCACCCATGGAGTAATCACTATATTCAGTACTCACCCATGGAGTAGCCACTTTCAGCGCTCACCCCTGGAGCAGTCACTTTCAGTACTCCCCCCTGGAGCAGTCACTTCCAGTACTCACCCATGGAGTAGTCACTTTCAGTACTCCTCCCTGGAGCAGTCACTTTCAGTACTCACCCATGGAGCAGTCACTTTCAGTACTCACCCACGGAGTAGCCACTTTCAGTACTCCCCATGGAGCAGGTCACGTTCAGTACTCACCCATGGAGTAGTCACTTTTAGTACTCCCCCTGGAGGCAGTCACTTCAGTACTCCCCCCTGGAGTAGTCACTTTCAGTACTTCCCCCTGGAGCAGTCACTTTCAGTACTCACCCATGGAGCAGTCACTTTCACTCAGCAGTCACTGCTGAGTCACTATGTTTAGAATTTGCTTTGTGGCTACTTGAGGTAAAGGCATCTGAAATATATATAGTCATTATAATCGCGGGCTGGTCAGCACCAATTAGCAGCTCAAGGCTATTGTCGCTTATCATTTCAATTGTGTTCGTGTTAAATTTTCCCAAGCTGGCACAGACCATTGCTTTAACGAATTATCATTCGTGGCGCCATATATAAGAAAATACGTCGTAAGAATAGTATATAAGACTATAGAGAGAGAGATAGAGAAGAGGAGAGAGAGAGAGAGAGAGAGAGAGAGAGAGAGAGAGAGGAGAGAGAGCGATAGAGAGAGAGAAGGAGAGAGAGAGAGAGAGGAGAGAGAGAGAGAGCGAGAGAGAGAGAGAGAAGAGAGAGAGAGAGAGAGAGAGAG